ACCGTACCTTGATCCAGTGTTCGTAAATGTACGTACTGTGATGTATGAAGCAGCTTTGCCTAGGTGCTGTTTTCTCCTTAACCTGCTTATAAAAACCAACGAATAATCTGGATCTTGATAGATTAAGTGGAAGAAAAACGAATTCAATTGTTATCTGCCAAGCTTTCTATTTTAAGGTCATGATCAGGGAAAAACAATCATAAAGTTGTCTACAAATTTATATAATTAAGTTTTCAATAAATCGTTTCAAATTTCTTTGAACATAGACTCAGTCCCAACATTGCCGACGACTGTGATATTACTCAAGTGTAAACTACAAAACCCACCACTCATGATGACAAAAATTGGAAATCCGCCTGACTGATCAAAAAAAGCGTGGACGGGCGGACTAAAAATGATAAGAACGTTCTTCTTCATACCCTGCAGACACACGAGAAAATCTAACATTTTATTTAATATTGTTATGCATTATGATAGTTAATAACAATTGTAAAAGACTTTTGATTGAAATATTTGTTATGCAGCAGCAATATTGATCAATGATGATTAGTCAACTGCGAACGTCTTCACGAACTTTATTATGGTACAAAGACAATTATAGATTAAACAATTAAAATTACACAGCAAGCAGCATTCTTTGAGTGTGGGTATTCAGGATTCTGGCACGAGTTTCCAGTATTCAATCATAGAAATAGATTTGTGCCATCTTTGACTTTATCTGATCGTCTTTCATAACTGACAACTTCGATTTTCTGGCCGATATTCCCACAAGTAATATTTCAGCAATGGAATTTTGTATTCAATAATATCAAAAATAAATAGGCCAACAAAATTTTTTCCAATTTTTAAACTGCTCATGTTAAATTAGCATTAAACTAGCTTCAATTAAAACCTATGTATGCTGAACCACCTTGCAATTCGTCTGTTTTCTTCTTCAACATCTTAGTTTTGTTTATGTTTAGAATCAAAATTAAATATAGTTTTCGTGTTTTATTTCCTTTTGTAGCCAAAGTACCAGCTTACCTACCTGCAAGGTAAATTTAGTCAGAAACTATTTCATTTTCTAATTCTAGGTACTTTTTTTGTAGATTTTATAATAGTATTTATGATTTCTACAAAATTTATTTTTTGTTATTACATTTACTACATAAGCATTGGCCTATTGCCTGTTATAAGAGTTTAAAAAAAACAATTCCGTCTAGATTTTCAACTATTCTAATCTAACGTAACTAATGAAGTGTACAACGCTTTAGCTAAATTACAGGCCTTGTTGCGTGTCTCGGCTCGCATGTCGGCATGAATTATTTTGCAGTTAAAGTCACGATTCCTATGAGGCGAAAAAAGTCTGCTTCGTATTTTTCAGAAGAGGCCAGGAGGAAGGCTGGTCACGCCTTGCCCAAAAACGTTTTGCTTTATTTTCGACACTTAACACTTTCTTCGCCAGGGTGTTTGAGAACCAGCACAAAATAATTAAGGGGTAATAACAGGGCTCAGAACAACCTGTTTGGTTGGATACCTGGTTAAAAAAATGACGTTCCAAAAGAAAAAAAAAGAAAAGAAAATCGAATTGTTCTCTTGTTTTCCCCTTCTCTTTTTCTCACTCAGGTCGAGATTGATCACGATCAAATTCAACGCTCTGTAGCTGTTTGCCATCGAATGAGAAATTTTGGATTTCTTTGTACAACCTAAGTCAAGTCAGTCAACAAGTCAGTCTGTCAAGACAAGCTTAATATTGCATACTTTTCTTCCATACACTTTATTGCAATAAAAGACCTTGTTCACGAGGTCCCCATGCTAATTCAGAAGATTATTGCGTATTAGCACAGCTGGCCAAGTCCAGGAAGGGGTTCTGTAACTACATGGTAACGTTTTACATTATACAAAAAGTGCTTGATTCAGCTTATACAAACTTTCTATTTGATTTTACTATATGGAATGTCTTCTGATTATTTATTAACATGTCTTTACATATCAGACGATTAAGAGGATTAAATCGTTGATTGTTAGCTAAATAGTGATAATCTCGTTAGCTACTCACCCTGCTCGAAATCGAAGCACCTGTTACTTTTTTACTAGACAAAGGTTTTTTTCTTTATGAGATGACCTCTTGTGGTCTGCGGGTTGTTGAACCTGGCCGTTTCCGACCACTGTCATCTCGGTTTTGGCCTGTGTATGCCGAACTGCACAGACCCAGCACTGACCAGAACATCAGACAGAGAATGACAAATCAAAATGATCAGAAATGACCAAATTATATCTTTTTTCTAATTTTGTCGTTACACATCATTTAAAAATGTCTATCATCGATGGGTTGATCTATCAGGAAAGTTTGGTACCTACTTGGTACGTCTGCCATCTTCAGTGTAGAGTCTGCTAAACAATTAACAAACAAAATTATCGGTAACGGCCAGGAAACATGAACGACCCTCATAAACCTATCTGGAAAGCCAACATCAGTCGATACCTTCTCAGGAAGATATTGAATCAACCAATCACCAACCCGGTCAGAGGATTTGTGGCACATCTTTACAAATAGAACAAAGATGATTTACCAAACCTTTTAAATTAACAGAAAAAAAATTAAAAGGTTGGATCTGGTTTCTTATATGAGCGTCAGCAGCTGTAACGCCAAGGATCTATGTTTCTTCGTTTGCACCCAAAAAAATTGGGCGACGACAAACGAATTATGAATGACAATCATCGCTGATCAGGTCAATAGTAAGGTGACGATCAGCTGCCTGGTTGCATTACAAAACAGAATCCTAGATCAGAGGACTATTGTTGGGTTTGCCTATTTTTTTTTCTGTTAGGTAAAATGATCCACGAACGACGTATTGCCAAAATGTGGGTCAAAATTTGAACAACAGCACTAATGAACTGGAAATATTCTCACTTTTTGAAAAAGATAGTTCTACTCACAGACTGCGCTTAACCAATGACTTGTTCACATTAGGCTTTCCTCATTATTGTCCCCAATAAATTGGGTTTTACCTGGATTGAAATATTCACCCCACTTCAAATTGTTCCTATGGTAAGATCCTCCTGTTAAATCACAACGATCGATCCAATGTTTCAATGCTGTGAACAAATTAAAAGAGCTTGGTTATGAAATCCAAGCACATACCGTTATCCTTCTGAATCTACTCATACGTATAACCAGTTTTTCGGAGCTTGGAAAGAACTTTATTCTAGATAAAATGTTAGAAAATGAAGATTTAAATAAATTTTCTGATTGGACCGGATTGGCAGAGAAGCTTTCACGTATCAAGAGCACTGTCGATGAGAGGCCCTCGGAGGATCTGACTCGTAGATGGGTCATCCTCACCCGATTATGGATTTCACACGGACACCTACTTTTGGGCCAAATTTATGTGTCCGACATGTAGAGAAAGGTTACTCGGTTGTCCCACCTATTGTGAAGTGTGAAATTCCTTGGCTCCATATATAGAGCGTGTACGAATACCACCCGCTATGAAAATCGCAGCAATTAGTGAATTTACTTTCAAGTCTTTATGTACTTATAATGGAATCAATCTATAAAATCTTTATTCTTTTATTTAAATTAAATAATAAAGTTCATCATTACTACCAAAAATTGAAGTTCTGCAGGGTGACAATCAGATTCTTCTGTTTTATGTATTGTTCTCTCAGTCCTCCATCTGTAACATCAACAAGGTTCAAGAGAAATAGAGCATATTTTAATATTACGTCTGTCCGTGATATTTATTAACGATGTCATTATTCCACGCCGTTCTACTACATTTTGATACGTTTTCCTCAAAGGGATGAAACATCAAGAATTCGGTTCTCCTTTGTTGTGATTTGTTGGACGATTCTTGTCGGCATCGAAAAAAAAAAGCTGTTAGCCGGTGGGACGTCTGTACACCCTATAAGGACTGCCTCATGCCCACTCTTTTTCCTTTTGACCATCTTTAGTTTTAAGAGAAACTGACAACCGCGACCAGTCCCTGCCGTTAGCTTCCGTTCGGCCATTCTCACAAAGATAATTCCTTCACAAAACCAACTTCTGCACTTTTAATGTTTATTTTTTATATGAACTCTTAAAGAGATAGTTGTATGCAATTTTACGTTGTTAATGCCATCATATCCATATTCTAATGGGCGTTACTCAAATATGGAAATAATTAATCTTTTCTGTCTTAATCTCATCTAAAAAATATCCTATTGATTGAAAAGACAATAGAAAATCTTAAAATAAAATATAACAGAACTAATAGGTCATTAGCATGGTGTTAACAAGAAAAATACTTTTACAAGTTTGTAATATTACTTCTGTTTATTAATTTTCTTATTTGTTCTCTAAATTCGTATAAAAACTAAACCTAAAAATACAAAACTAGGACATTAAGCGGTTAAAATCATGTTGGACGTGATGAAAGCATGTATGAGCAAATCGTTAATCCAGTTTCTCCCTGTTTTGTCTTGAAAAGGACCTGCCTAGTTGTCGAGAAAAGAAACGGACTTTTCACGAAAGAATAAAAACGATATTAAACTTGTTGTTTTTTTCAAATTGGCAAATCCTACTCGAATTAAAGTGGCCATATTTATGCTCAAAACGACCATTAGCATAACGGTACACGGGCTCGAGGAACCTGTTTCTGTCCTTAACGCTTTGCTTCCTGAACGTTGGTCATTTTATGCGCTCATTCTTCAGCTGACCTTTAAAAAAACTGTCATCGCTCTGTATTTTGATATGCATTCCAGAAATTAATTAATTAATGACGAAATGTTCCTTCGATCTCATACTCTATGATTTATAATGGAACATTTATGTTGTGACGAAAAATAGGACAATTGTAACTTTAAGTATGTCAATTTCAGTAAAATTGAAATGCTTTTGTAATTAACTTTACATTTTGAATAGAAATTATGTTTTTACAAATGTTCTTTGGAAGTTACTAAAATTCAAATTTACAATACAATAACAAAACAATAAATTTTAGCAATTGAATATTTAGTTTAGTAAATTTGTTTGGCAGGTGATTTTGACTTGCACTGGAGGCGAACAAGAGACAATGACCAAGAGGGTGGAAGTGATCGAGGACTGTTCCTGCCTGACATGCCGTCAGGAAGAGTCGAGCGATTCGGGTCCGGAATCAACATCGGTAGACGTTCCGCAGCTGCTCAACATGATGTCCCATCCCAAAGGAAATGTCTCGCATTCGGTCGCACACATTAAACACGGGGACAAGTACTGGATTTAGGCTTGACATCGGTTAGAAGTTCCACTAATAGGAGACAATTTACAGCAAGATCGGCCTTTTGCTCAAGATGATCGCAGGCAGGCAGGATGAAGCGGAAGGTGACAACCAGGAAGGCGCAGAGAACCGCCTCGAAGCTATCATCAGTGAAATGAAAGAGAATGGCGTCAATGAAGAATTGCAAGGTTTGGCAGAGAAAGCAGAAGAGAAAGGCCAGGTGAAAACTATTAACCATATATATATATCAAGTTTGATATGTTGTTTTTGTTGTGTGTATCTTTCATGTGGGCTTCGTTTGGCTGATTTCATTGGTTTTTCTTAATATAAAAAAAAATCCAACAAATTCATCCTTCCAATCCAAAGTCCTCAGAATAATAGTCAAACACTCCCTACTGTCTCCAATGCAACTTCCTCCACAATGACCTCTTAAACTACCGTTTGTAAATAAATTAATCCAAATTTTCTATGTCCATGATAAACTCTCTGCTCACCACACCAAATCCAAGTCCAATATAATTTACCCTTATAACCCATGACTAAAGTGAGATGGCCCTGGGACATCCTAACCAAGGACTAATCCTTGAGTTATGCTGGGAGAGCAACAAATATTATTAACTCCCCTCAAGAAATTTACAGTTATTTGTAAATATGTATTTCTTTAACAAATCACCCCCAAACCAAATTTGGTATGGTTTCATCTTAGACTGTCATGATAGTTCTTAAATAATAAGTACAAGTGTCTATGTAAACTATTTGTTGATCTAGGTCTTCAGAACCATCATTTTGTAATGCAAAATATGTGTTTCAGGTTAAAGTAGACATTGGTAAATTCAAGGAACTTTTATCTAAAATTGAGACAAAACATAACTCTGAAAATCACCACATCGAAACAGAACCCAGTGTTCACCGTCACCAACATGGACTTCATCACGTGAGCACTCATCATACAAAGGTACCCACAAAAATTTCCATTTTTGCGCATTTTACCCAAATTTTTTTTAAACATATTTTCAGATCGAAGAGGAAGAGATCCTACCGAATCCGACACTCGACATCTCATCCCACCACCTTCGTCCGGCAATCGAAGGCTCGGAAATAACATATCTACCACAGACTTCCCCCACGCACACCCATCACCACAGCCACAAATTAGAAGAATAATCCTCAGTATTCGACTTCAGCATAAGATCATATTTTGGAGAGACATGATTTATCGATTTAATTGAAGATTATAAAATAAATAAATGTAGTCACACATTCATCACAAGTCTTGTCAATTATATTAATTTATCAAAAATACATAAGTTATTCTTAAGGTTTAAAAAGAAAATAAAAATTGTATTGACATTTATTTTTATTGAGGTACAATAGTTGGTTAACATAGATTTTACATGTCTAAACCTAATTTTTTTTATTAAAATAGTAAACATAATCATTTATGTTTAAAAATTAAAACTCCCTTGTTAGCAATGTTTGCCAAGACTACATCTCCCTGTTTTGCCATGTTACCTTTCAATTTTGTCTACTAGAGGCTTTATGTTAGGCTGTGTTAAATTGTTTAAAAATATATATTTTGTATTAATTCTTAAGTTAGCATTATTTACGATGTACAGTTTTGCTTTCTTTATTCAGATTAATTCTATATATATAAATATGTTGTATTAACAGTTTTATGTTGTTTAGTAAATATTCGAGTTTTTAATAAAGATTCTATTTAACGTTGAACTGGGTTTTATTAGAATTTCTGTATTTCATTGGCTCAACTCATTTCATTGAAAAAATGATTTGGCGATCACAACACATTTAGATTTAAGTAAAAATTATACAAATTTAAAAATAAAATTGAGCAAAAATCGGGTACAATTTTCAAAATGGTTGTGTGGTAGGATCAAATATCACATATGAAACCTTTTTCAAGTTTCACTTTCTCCCAGCACAAGCCAGCTCTAATATTTAATTTTATTATTTTTATTATTATTATTATTATTATCAATACATATAAACTATCATATACAAGAAGCAGATTTGAAAAATACATTCATTTGAAAAAAAGGGGGACAATCATCTATTTTTATCAGTTACTTTTGCCACATTTAGAATTTTTGTTGAGTTGTGACTAGATGGACCAAGACAAACAACACAAATTAAAATCACAAAAAACTGAAAATATATCATGCACAAGGGTATTAAAAACATACTAGTCATCCTAGAAAGTTTGTAACAGATTTTTCCATAAAATATGTCAATTTCTGTCTAATTTTTCTTATTTTGTTTGAAAGATTTATCAACGATAAAGGAACTTTAAAGTATAACCAAAGCAGAATACATGCCAGAAAATACAATAAGATTAGATTAGATAATAACTACCTCTTATCAGAAATCATTTTTCAAAATAATATATAATACATAAATAAAAATAAATTTTGATTAAATACAGAAGAGGATAGAAATGCCTTATCATTTATCTGACTGTATTAAGTTTTAATTCATTTGGTAGTGTTGTTCCAAAGTAGAATAGATAATCCCTTCAGAAATATCAATTTGTATCCCTCCTTGGGATAAAACACATGAGTTTCTAATTTTGATTAAAAACAAATCTGTCTGAATTTCAAAATGACAAGTTTAAAGGACAAATAATTTAGACAATTTGTTTTATCACCTTTAAAACTATTATTTTGCCTTTTTTTAATTAGTCATCTATCTGTTGGATGTACTTTGTAGAATGAGTGTACATTTTATCAAATTACCCTTTAATTTATGAATAAATTTAACTCACAACTGCAGTCACAATTTGCTATGTAAAAATAATCTGAAAGAATTTTTTCACTTACACTGTAGGTTTACTAAACAACTTTAATGAATTTTTGGATTGCTTATTTCAATTGTAGGGACAAAAGAAAAATGAAAGGCACAGCCAGTATTGAAAAAAGGTAAGAGCACAGGGAATCTAAGTGATCACATTTAATGATTGTCAATCTATTTTAGATTCATAATCAAAATATTAAAAAAATGAAACAAGCAATCCAAAACCATGTTTTGTCCAGGTAAGAAATAAACTTAAAAATTCAGTTTGTTTGCACTGGTTTATCGATAATTACAACACCGGCGTAGCTCCTTCCGATGCCCATGCAGGACGGAAGCATGGACCAGGTGTTGGATTTTGGGTTGTAGACTTCCACCGAGGCGAGATTCGATGTACCATCATCACCGCCGACGACATACAGTAATCCTTTCAAAGCCACAACACCTGAAAATCAATGCACTAGGATCATCTTTTCACCTTGTAATTATAAAGAAAATACCTGCATTCCGCCTGCACAGCGCCATATCAGTAACTGGTGACCATTTATTTGTTTCGGGGTTATACGCTTCAACAGATTTCCTGACTAATGGGCCATCATGGCCACCGACTGCATATAAAATGCCATCCAGGACACCTACACCTATAGTAGTATGACATTTAGCACAAAATATTTCTCTAGTTTGATGATGTTTGATAGTTGCTTATCATTGCTGATTATGTACGTCAGACACATTTCATCATATCCAGTGGTAAGCAAGCAAGATCCTGAAGAAAACATAGAGGATAGGCATACCAAAAATCAAACTACAAATTGTTTTGTTCTTTAGAGTTACAAAATCAGTGAGGATTGGCAGACCAAGATGATAGGCAACCATCAAACTACAGGTTCATCACTCCAAAGACCACAGGAAAAAATCTCAAACCAAAATACTTTGAGTTTTCTTTTTAGCCATACCTGCTCCACTTCTCCTAGCTGCCATATCAGCCACAGGTTTCCATTTATTTGTTTCCGGGCAGTAGCATTCTACCGAACTAAGGCAATGCCTTGAAGCACCATCATAACCACCAACCTTTAACACATTGTCAAGATTAAATCTAATAGATAAATTTTTTAATCATTAAAACTTACGGCGTAAAGTTGGTTGTTGACAACACCCACGCCGACACTACTCCTACGTGTAGACATAGATGCTATCATATTCCATTCTTGTTTCCTTGGATCGAAGACCTCTGCACTGTTGAGACCAGTAGAGCCGTCGAAACCTCCAACAGCGTAGATGCAGTTGTTCAGCACTGCTACTCCGAGCGTGCTTCTTCTTGCTTCCATGCTGCTACTTGTCACCCATTGGTCAGTCAAAGCGTCATACACATCAACTGTCCTGACTCTAAGGGAACCGTTAAAGCCGCCTACTGCGTACACTTTGCCCTGGAGTACGACTAAACCTGCTCGACACCTTCGACCAGGCATCTCGGCGACATTTGTCCAACTCTCTACACTAAAGTCATAGCATTCAACGGAGCGAATTGCTTTCGGTGCCTGCCCTCCTACTACCAACATAACCTGTAAAAAAATCATGCCTCAATTTAAAAACAATGTGTCAAAATTGTAATATTTATCTGCACATTTATAACAAATTTTTAAAGCTTATTAAACAACGAAAAAGAAAAAAATGGTCCATTCACAAAAGTATAATATGTATATTAAAGATAAAGAAGAAAAATATGACTAAAACAATTCCCATAATATTGGGTCTGCACATAAGTTTCCCCCCCCCCAAAAAAATGTCCAACTTCCAAAATATAAATTTATTTCATTAATCATTTTTATTTAATTTATTTATTTACTTATTTATTTTTTATTACTATTACGGAGGATACGAGGAACTGGAGGAGTTCCCCCTGTGCTCTAGAATAAGCAATCCTTAAGACTGATTTTCAGAGTGTTTTTGTTGAACCTATGTTTTAAGTAAGTGATTGTCTAAAGGTGGCTGCAGTCAAACAGGATTCGCCAAATGCCGAGCAAAGGTTTGCCCAATCCTGACTAGTCGGGAAGGGTACTCAGTTACCTTGTCCTCTTCAAAGTATACAAATATTCATGAAGTAACCAAACTCAAAGCATCCACACATTTAATCAACTGTACTGTATGGATATCAACTGTAATCATCAACCAACACTGCTATTTATTTTTTATTAATAAACAATTCCTAAGTAGTATAGATGTATTAATGAAATAACATCATAGCATTGTTTCTGTCGGTTAGGAATGGATTGGCCCAACATAACATTCTTTGTGTTCCTCGGAACGAGGTTTTCAATGCAAGGAACAGTACTCTGTGACTGATTTGTGTCTGAGTTTAGATCTACTATATAAAACAGTAACCGCAGCTGCAGTTGTGACAGTTTCACTGTTGTCCATCACGATGGGTAGTAAGTCAAGGAGTTGCACGGCACTTGGAAAATATGTATTTGCTGTTTCTGTATAAACTGGTTGGTTGTACAAAACCTGAAGCTCATTAGGCATTCCATAACAAGATTTGATCCATCTCTCTCCATCAAAAACCTCTGAACCAGTCGACTCTCAGGATCAGTTACTACCATAAATTTCATATCAACAGTTTGAGATCAAATTCATACAGTAATATCACAAATGAATTTTATCTGCTTCTATGACACGGGTCACAGTTTATTCTAAATTAACTTTTGGGATCAACTACTCCTTTCATAACAATCTCTTTCAATAGGTCTTTTCCCACCCTAGAGCTAACTAGGCTAGAAGGTAATAAAGTGTGAAAGTCGAAATTTGAAGGAAAAAACTTATGCATGCACCAATTTAAATACTGCAATAAATGGATTGTTTTTACCTTAGGAACTCCGACAGGTTGCCTAGGTTTAGTTCTTGGTGTGTTGAATACCAATCTTTGATCAGTCTTAAGTAAATGATATTTTAAAGCCTCTATTAAATAATCTTTACCTATAACGTTAAAAATGTGTTAATAATTTTTTTTTTTTGTGTGTGTTAACAACATATTTCAAATTTCTTACATTGTAAGTTTGCCTTTAAAAGTGGTTCTTCCTCGACTCTTTGAACAAGATAATCTTGAGGTAAAAGTGGCAATCTAACATATTCCATAAGTTCGGCCAAATATTCCTGCCTTTCCTCCAACTCGTGATTGACCCAATTCACAACGCATTCGAACACCTTCTCTTCGGATTTCACAGCCAGGCGATCGGAACAGATCAATTTACATACTTGGTGATGCGACAGGGCCAAGAATTCCTCGCTTTCAACTACCTCGCTACAAAACGGTAAAAATAATTTTTGGCGTTACTTAAAAAAATGTGTAAACATACGAAAAATGCTGCTCGATGAAGGACTCGGCAGTGGCTAACAACTCGATACAGCCATGCAGATCCGCAAACGCTCTTATTCCGAGACAATTTGTTGGGTGGAGCTGCGACTGCAGAAAATCGCAGCAGGCATCCCTCACATCAGAAAGCTGCAGGAGGTTAGCAGCAGGCAATAAAACCTATATTTTATTGAAATATTATAAATTGAATTGAACATATAGTATAAATTATTTTAAATTACACTCTTAAACTATGAAATAATGGATAGATATAAAACATATTATCAGTTATAATAAATACATTACTGAACTCAAATTTTGTTTTAATTATAATGAACTTAAGTTAATGCAATTTCACATATTTTTTCTTTTATTAATAATAATTAAAAAATTTAAAATGCTAATTTGGAAATAAAATAATAACTTTTTAATCATGCTTGTTAAATTTACCTGTACATTTTCTTCTGTGACATGCACCTCAGCAGTGTAGACGTAGTCTACAAGAAGTTGAAGCGCATAAGGGTCAAGCCCTTGGAGAACTATCCTCTCCTGCCGGCTTTCCTCGAAGCTTGTGAACATAGCATGGAAGTACGGCGAGCAAGCCGCCAAGACCATCTTGTGAGCCGAAATCTCAACTGTCTCAGCCACCAGCCTGACATCGCAGAGGAGGTGTTGCCTGTAAAGAAGTTAGGTCAAAAGATTGCGGTGAAAGAGGAAAGACTTATTCTTACTTTCTCATGATATTAAGTACATCAAACGCCCTCTGTGTGTGCATATGATTTCTGTAAGGCGGTTTCTCCTTGGCCCCACTCCTGGGGATCTGTTTCTGAGAGCTTTCATCGAGAGAATTTTGACTCGCATACCTCAGTAACATACAGCTAAACAAAAATGAATAAATAAAAACATATTTGACAAAAATAGTTCTGATTTTTTTTTTTTTAATCAGAATTTATTTTATGGGATAAAAAAATCCATATTTACTAATTAAGTATTTCCAAAACACAAAATTTGGGATGTGGCAGGTTAGTTAGTCCTTTGTCCTTCAAAGAGTCTTCAAGGTAAATTATAACATTTTAATACTTTTAAAGCAAATTATTTCAGCATAAGCAAAATGTTATAACAACAAAACAGAAGATAACGCAAGCTAAAAATGATCATTGACAACTAAACAAAAAATTGTTTTGTTTTTTAGGTCAGTCCCAATACTATTTTTTTACGTACGACATGTCATACCTCCTTGGGGAGCTGGCAACTAGCCAAACAATTCATCAGACGTATCAGCTTATCATCAAGCTCCCCAGTGAGTCCCTCGTACATAACATCCATAATCAAATTGGGAAGAGTTTACGCATTCTAAACAGGGGAAGGTGGCTGGCCCAATGGGACCAATGGAGGATGGACATTTTGGCCTACCATAAATGGTCTAGGCATACCAAAAATGATCGGAATCGACCAAACTATAAATTTCACCAGCGTTTACACAGCACTTATGGACCTGAATATGAGTTGCAATTGTAACTGAAATATTAATCTACCAGTTGGTCATTGCTTGCAGAAGGAAGTTTATATCCCTACAAGTCGACAAATCAATCACATGGACCTCCTAGGGGAGCCGAAGATAAAACATAATCAAATTGGGAGGAAGCTAGTAGTTTATGCATTTTAATTTTGGCCTATCCTTCATTTTTGGTGTGACCTGACCAAAATAGAGCATACCAAAAATGATCGGAAACGACCAAACTACAAATTCCACCAGTGTTTATACAGCACTTATGGACCTGAAAAGTGTGGCAATTTTAATTCAAATATCCATGTTACAGTTGGTCAATGAGATGGTCAGAGGCTGTCGCCAAGGAATAAAATTGAAAAAAAAAAAATGAACACAAACACGTAAATATATTTGTTTTTAGAGGACAAGCTTGGCATTGCTGAACTGGATGAGTCAACAGAAGTGGAGGAAAGTCAACAAAACGAACGTAAGTCAAAAGTGGAATTTGGATAGTGAAAAACCGCTCACCTTCCTCTTTCTACGCCAAAATCCGTCGACAACTCCATAATTTATCTCCTCCCCGGGGAAAAACGAAATGACGAAACATATACTAAATTTTCTTCAACTGCGACATCGGAACTGCGGGAGTTAATCGTAAAAAAAGAACAGAAAGATTTGAACTCGGTGAGAGGGGGGGTATAAATTAAAACTCGTAACTGCCGAGAAAACAAATCCGAGGGTGACACCGGACCTTATTTTTTCGGATTTTCCTTTTTCTAAAGGAAAAATACAAAATAATAAAAAAAGATGTTAAGGTTGACAACACAGGAGAGCGTAACCTTGTTCGACGGATTAACGGGCCCGAACGACGGAGAGGGGTGAGCCGTGAGCGCGAGCTTTTTCGAAGATCTGGTAAATGACGTTGCACTTCCCACAAGATTTCATTTATTTCTCATTCATGTTATTTATGAGAAATAAATATATATCATATATCAAATTATCATATATCGTGATATATATATATCAAAACAAGCATAAAACTGCAATGCTCCAAAACATTTTTCTTTCAAACTTTGTTCTTTGTATATTTTCCTGTCATCAACTCAAATGTACCTTTATGCAAATAAAATCTGCATTAATTCAATAATTTAATTTTATAAGCTAGGTCAAAAAAGATATTCTAGTAGTCAATCAAAACCAGTTGATTGATAATTAGCTAATTACAAAATTGATACAAACAATGTATTAATAGAAAGAGATTAAAAATAATAGAAGGTGCTTATCAATCGGAGTCAACTATCATTGGGTGATAAGCAACGATAAAGTAGAGGTGATTGTGAAGAAGATCACATCATTGACTACACCCCATTATTTAGAAATATTGCTGATATAAACTGCCCAAAAATGAATAGGGATATTTGTAATTTACTCTTATTCTATTAATTTTAATCAAATTAAAAGATATAGTTTTGTTAGTTGGATAAAACAAAATAGAAAATACAAGCCAAAAACAAACAAATGTAAATCCCAATTTTTAATAATGGATTTATTTAAGAATAGTAAACATGAGATTACTCATTTTGTAAACAAACACCTTTTATAATCTTTTCTCCATTTTAATCAAGTTGTATTCTCTTTAATCATGGAAAGACATCATCTTGAACTAGAAGTTCACAATATTATTGTGAGAATGAGTCATCGAGGTCACCGGCATGTGGGTATTGCAGAGGCAGTTGGCATTTTTCACAGCTTTCAGAGATGTCTATTGGGCTTTAGCCCGATTCCAACAGACTGGAAGTGCCAATAGGAGGCCTGATAGTGGATCCCAGCACCCTACGACACTAAGGGAGGACAGAAATATTGTTATTGTTGCAAGACGGAACCCTTTCCATAGTGCCCGCTAGACCTAAATGAACTCAAGATGTTTTGGCAAGCCTTTATCAACATAAACGATTATAAATCATCAAATCAGAGAATGTAAATGAACTACACTCATCTATGCATTATAGTATAAATTCTGCCATCTCAATAGCAACAGAGAAAAAATGATAGTACACAGTAAGCCATGGAATACAATGAATTGGCAGAATTGAGAAGAAAATAAATATTAAAACAATTACACAAATTTAAAAAAACCTCTGGTTGAAAATATATTAGCAATAATAAGTGTCATTAATGTTCTGAAGCTTACAAGTATTTGTAAAAGTTATCAGTATCCTTTATGAGCTTCCCTATGCAAGTTGTATTGAGTTTGTTTTATTTTGTTGAACTGATACTGGGTTACTTATCAGATCCATCACAGGTTTGATAGGACAATGCTGAAACGTGCTTGATTAATTAAAAAACGTGGGTGTTAGACAGACCCAATAAGTATTGGTTCAACTTGTGCTCACTGACTCGCAGACCAACACCCACCATCAACTTAACATTTTATTTTGTATGACATAAAGTCTTGCTATGAGGAAACGGTCTGACCAGACTGTGAATAGGAAACTGACAACTGACACAAAGACACAGACTGTCTAGTCCAACATGTGAAACCTGTGAAGTACAGTTAACGATGAGGCATATTTTAACCTTGACTTTTAATCTTGCTTCTTGTCAAGTAATCTTGCTGAGTTATTGGAAGAATATGCAGGGAATATAGAGAAACCTTTTAATTTTTTACTATCAGTAGATTTATATTTTATTTATATAATAAAATATAAATGGTTTGAATTTTTGTTTGTTTTTTCTCAAAAAATTAGGAGGTTGTGCTGGGTGGAATAGAAACGGTGGCAGCTCTCTGGGTTAAAGGGACTCAAGACTTGCGAAGCCAGTGAGTGGACTCTCGAGTAAAATGTTATTGATGTCAAGGCCAAAAATGACTTAAATAGTTGATGGCCTTTAATATAATTTAAAAAATATATATTTTTAAAAAGTATGTTTGATTGTAGGAAAATTTTTAAGGAAAAAAGGGCTTGTTTTGTGGTCTTTCAATAAACATTTCTTAGACAACCTTACCTCTTTTGAAAAAAAAGGTATTAAATTTCCATAAAGCCACTAATAATCTATTTTTATATATGTTACTTCACTCAGAGTTAGACAATCCAAAACTATGTTAGCAATTGAGGCATGTACTAGTAATTTTAGACATTTATTTGAACAGTAAATAGACACCTTAAAAAACGAATATGTATTTGAAACTAGGCAGAAAAAGGTTTGACATAAATGCCACAAGAGGGCGTCAAATCTGTTGTTCCACAATAATTTTAAATATATTTCAAATCCACAGCCTATACATCTCGTGTATGCCGTACAGCTCAGACAAATTTATTTTATAATTTAACCAATGATACAAAGTCGAAATAAATTATGTGTTAAATATTTTATTGAGGCATGGCCGAAGGTGTACGAGAATAAAACTGTATGGAAACTGCTTAGTACTGTCCTTGGTCTTTGTCAACAGAGGGTAGAAAGGGTTCTTGTAGTTACTGGACAAGTTTCCAGATTCTGTCAAATCTAGTACTAGTGTAGTAGTAGATTCTGTAAAATCTTAGCTAAAATAGGTAGAACGTGTCCAACCTGACTCACTCGAATGCTACATGGAAGTATCATTGGGACTTATGTACTATAAGTATATATCCACCATTTTCCAAGCATTGGTAATGATTTGACACCTCGATTTGCAAAAGATGTGACTGATAGAGTGCGGACAGGTTTAAGTAAACGAGGCCGACGTAAAAGTCTAAAATTGTTAAACACACAAAAAAATCCAAACAAGTAAAGTAGAAAGACCTCAATAGGATTTCATAAAGAACCTCGGACTATATACAGATTCACACATAAAGATCAGGAGTTTATGTTTTCACCAAAAAAGTAATGCCTGTAAAAGAAATTCTTCCGCGAAATTGATGTTTCCTCTGTTTCCTTGCAAAATCTATCTATCTATCCAAAATGTGCCATGTTGGACTCCTGTCAGGATTCACAGTTTTTTCCTGTTTCCTTTGATGCATTCTGTTGTTTCTTTCTTTCCAAAATTTGCAAGAAGGTTCTTGGAGTGTTCATGATAATATAATAATTCCTCGCAGTTTTGGTCTGTCATTCAGTTATCAGATATATCCATCCACTACTGATCTACTATTTACTATAAAATCTAATTGTTAGATTTCCTCATGAGATGGGTGACGAATCTGTAATTTGGCCGTTGCAGATTATTTTGGACCGATTGTCCAAGCAATTGTACTTTAATATATCGGCTTTTCACCATATTCACTATTAGTCTGTATGTTATTTTATGTCTTGTCCTTTTCTTAATTTTTATAAATTTGAAAAGACAGGCAGTTGTCGGATCGAATTAATCTTCTGAAGATGGCGGTATATTGAAATGTGTCGAACAGGTAAAAATTCACAAATATAGTCAGTCCGAATGGCTCGAAAACGGCCAAACTGTTTATTTTAACGTTCAACTAGGTGCCAAGCCATTTTAATTCTGCTTTTTCAAATTATACACATTAAAATTATAACACCAAATATAAAGGCGATCTATGGATCTCAAGTATGAAGCCTCTACGGCCTGGGGCAGCCGTGATTGCCAAGAAAGCTATAAGTGCGAGTTGTAGATAGGACCTTATCGCTTCCTCCAATGGGTTTGGATCCCTACTAGTTTCTACAAGCTTATTGGCTGCTATTTGGAATGCGGAAGTATTGTCAAAGTTGTAGTATGCCGTTAGTGCACCAGGTCGAAACTTTAGTAAGTCATAGTCAGTCAGTAGCTCTCGAACTAGAAGGCATGTTCGACTTCAAGACGATTAAGGAACACGGTGTGCTTGTGAACCCCTGCTTCTCAAGTCAGGTCAGCACTATGGGTAAGCGTTGGGCCATAGAAAGTCTTTCGCAATGGGCCAATCAAATAGGTCTATTATCTTCTCCCTCGTGTAGGTTAGTTTCGCCTATCTAGTTTCAGAATTTTAATAAGACTTGATAGGCTCATCAGTTGTATTCACTCAGATTTTTTTGCCCTCTTCTTATTGACAGAATTCTTCAGGTCAAACTACCATACGTCACGGTCAGTTTGATCACCTCAGCATTTACTTAGGAATTATTCCTTGAACCTTCGCTTCCAACTTTAGAAAATTTGAAATTTCTTATTGACTTCTGCGTGGTAATAAACCTGCAGCTGGTCGTTTTGTCTATCTGAGCAAATAGATCAGACGCTTGGAACCATGGCCCAGGTGACAGATAGAAAAGATAATCTACTATTTATTTATCTCACTTTTGTTATTTGTGTATTACCGTTAATCCGACACGTCCAGGTTGGTGCAACATACCACCGGATGAGGATGGGACTAGTCACTTCGCACGTCTTTCATCCACTTTTATTCATAACACTGGGATCTTTGGAAGGAATGTGCTCCAGTGTGGAGACATATCGGAAGTTAATTTTTAAAAAATTGCTTTTTAAATACCTATTATTTTTCAGCTTTTTAAGAAACTTTCTTAAAAGGAATATACTAACTGTAAATATTTGAACCCAAAATAAATTTTTCATTTTTTGTTTCTGCGTCTTTTTTCTTTCTGGGTTTAAGTACCAAGCTTTTGTTATATGTCAGTTTTTTGAAATTTAATTGAGCAATATTTTTTCTCTGTTCTGTAACATTTCCCTTTCCTCCCACCAATTCAACTACTTAAGCCATTATTACCTACTGTTTTAAATATTTCTATTAGAGATCTCTTCTTTATTTTTCCCCCACAGCTTGTGTTCTGAATGGCATATGCCAATTGGGAGCAGGTGCGGCGTCAGACGGATGTTCCTGATTGCTGTGGGGTACTCGAGCCATTTGCCAGTACCAGACGGGCCAGAATCGGAACATCATCACCAGTTCATTACTACACGACAAATTCCAACATTTCTTTTCAACTCGAGTAAGCAGGTACCGTGGTAGTTCTAACTTTGCCTGAAGTAAACTTATATAGCTTTAAAATAAGCATCTTACTTTGATATGTATAAAAAACGATCAATTGTTCATTTTGTACAAAAGAATTTTGTAATTAATAAAAAATACATTTTCAGATTTTCCAAAGTTTAACCGGGAAAGTTTACTTCTGAACATGTAGGTATTGCAAATAAACGCCGGACCAATGAGGTTTTATTCTTGAAAGAGCGTAAAATAGAAAATTAATTATTCTAAGGAAATAGCCACAGGAAAAATTGGTAAAATGTGTGACTACTTTTCACAAAAGTTATAATTTATATTTTAAAAAATCATTTCAATTGGCTGGAATAGCGAACTCAAACAAATTGATAGCCCAGTTCTTTTTTTTTTCTTTTCAAAAGGCCGTTAATGTAATTTTAATGGATAACTTTCCATTATTTTTTTAACTTTCACAGGCTTCAATCATGCTTTTGGCTTTCTCATGATCAAATCTACCAATGAGGACAAAAAGTGGTCTGATTCTCTCCTCTATCTAACAAGAATATACTTTATAATAGATTTTAACATCAACATCATGAAGATGCCGACTGAACACAAAAACTAGCTGGGACCACTGAGATTAATATTTCGTGTGACTTTCTAAGGGATAACGAACAAAAATTAGAGTATGATGCAGGCGTTAAAACAAACACCATTTGAGCAAAAGCCAAATATTTTATGTTCTGTATATTTCAAATTGAGCATTCCAATAGGTTATGGAACAACTGGCAGCCTCTATTTGGGAATTTCGATAATTATGTTGTCTCTTTCAGGTTCATAGCATAGTTGGAGCGGTCACTCATCATCTAAACCATACAAAAATATTATACTCTTTTTAAAGATAAACTTTATCGCTTATTTTACCTTATTAATTACTGCTTCTTCCATTTGCAAGTACCTGTTTTCAACATTGATTATGCACCCATGCTAGCCTTTATTACCAACTTTTGCCCAATAAAAGAAGAAATCAAACTTTAATACATACGAAAAAGAATCAGAATATTACTTACAAAAAAGGGCGATTATTCAGTTCGTTCAATCTGACGAACAGTTCACTCTTCAGATTCACCGATTCTTCAGAAAATCGGTTAAAGCTTCAATTCTTCAGCTAATAACTCAGCTGGTGAACTAGCAATTCTTCACCTCATTCTATCTGATGTGAAGAATTTTTCAGCTCATAAGAAAATCTGATGGGGCGAGTTTATTACTCAATCTTGTAAATTGGCAATTCTTCAGCTTATTCCATCTGACAAAGTAACAATTCTTCAGCCCAGTTTGCCATCTCATCCGTTCTTCATCTGTTTCTTTGTCGAACAGCATATCTCACTATCTAATAAAATCAGATAAACCATCAATTCTTCAGTTCATTCTTAACCTTGCGAACTGGAAATTCTTCAGCTCATTCTATCTGATGAACCGTTAATTCTTCAGCTCATCAAAAATCTGATGAATGGTCAATTAGCTTATTACTCAATTAGGCGAATTGGAAATTCTTCAGCTTATTTCATCTGACGATCTATCAGTTCTTCAGTCCAGTATTCCATGTTATGCTACATCGGTTCATCTCATTAATATGACTAACAGTACATTCATCACTGCAAAACAAAATCAGATAAACCGTCAATTCTTCAGCTCATAACCTAACCCTGTAAACTGGCAATTCTTCAGTTCATTCTAACTGACAAACCGTTAATTCTTCAGCTTTTCAGAAAATATAATATGGTAATCCGCAGTTTTTCAGTTCATTCCACTTGAGGAACTATTAATTATTCAGCTAATTATTCTAGCTGATGCTACGTCAGTCCTTCATCTCATTCGTTTCACGAACAGTTCATTCGTCACTGCAAAACAAAATCAGATAAACTGTCAATACGCAATGCATTCGAACCCGACATACTTACAAATGGGCTTTTTTTCAAAAACACCCGCACCCTGAAGATTGATATGACCTCTGCTGTTGCGAACCCTCATAAAAAAAAGAAAAGAAACCTGTCAATTCTTCAGCTCATAACTTAACTTTGTAAACTGGAAGTTTTTCAGCTCATTATACCTGATGAACCGTTAATTCTTCAGCTCCTCACAAAATTTAATGAACCGTTGATATTTCAACTCATCAAAAAATCTGATGAATGGTAAATTAGCTTATTACTCAATTTGGCGAATCGGCAATTCTCCAGTTTATTCCATCTGACGATCTATCAGCTCTTCAGTCCAGTATTCCATTTATCACTGCCTTACCTAACCTGTAAACTGGCAATTCTTCAGCTCATTCTAACTGACGAACCGTTAATTCTTTAGCTCTTCACAAAATATGGTGGCTGCAATTTTTCAGTTTATTCCACTTAAGGAACTATTAATTCTTCTGTTAATTATTCTATCTGATGCTACGTCAGTTCTTCATCTCATTCGTTTCATGAACAGTACATTCATCACTACAAAACAAAATCAGGTAAATCGTCAATTCTTCAGCTCATAACTTAACCTTGTAAACTGGCAATTCTTCAGCTCATACTATCTGATGAATTACTTACTTCAGCTTCTCACAAAATTTGATGAACCGTCCATTCTTCAGTTTCTCACTCAATCTGGTAATCCGCAATTTTTCTGTTTTTTCCACTTGAGGAACTATTAATTTTTCAGCTTATTATTCCGTCTGATGCTACGTCAGTTCTTTAATTTAAACATGTTCTGATGAATCTTCAATTATTCTCCCACCTTTTGACACAATACAGCTGTTGTAAGAATTGAAGAGGACTTGAACTCGACATTAGCTACTAGGCCGTTGAAAATAGGCTCACTTGAACGCAGAAAAATCCCAAGTTGTTGTGCTTGGATCTATCAATTACTTATCCCTCAGTTCACAATAAACTATGATCCCTTTTATGTTCATTCTGTTGATTCTACTCCACTTCAACCTATTAAAATGATAGTTCCTACTCACAGAGATGTACTCTTACAATTCATGTCGAGAGACGTGTTTGTAAATTCCTTCAACCTGATGATGAGCAATAAGCTTGAAATCCAGATCGTTGAAAACAACTAACTCTGTGAGTAGGAACTATCTTTTTAAAAAGATTGAACGACATACTCTCTACTACTCCACTTATGTTCACCTCTACTCTACTTTCCTTCACTCTCTTATATACTCTTACATACAAAGTCTTCAATCCCTGACAGGAGTCCAACCAGAATTCTGGTTCTGTTGTGGTCGCTCTCCTGTAATTTCTTCGTAAGTCTAGCGTATGACCCTTCTAAGGTGGGTTCCCTGGTATTGATCCAGCAGGTTTTGGACCCGGTTACTTTTTTGGTCAATATCCGTCCTCTAATTGTCTCTATGTCCCGAATGCCCAGGGATGAAGCTAATGAAGTTGATACCTCTGGGTTTGGCTCATGATTCAAATTGTTGAAAACACCATCAATATAAATAGATTCTTCCATTTCGTTCCACACTCGAGCTACAAAAGAAGCAAGTAACTGATAAATATTCCACGCACAATTATCGATAAGATAGTGAGAGGACGATGGAAGTGTATAGTTGTTGATAGTTCTCTCCTCGTAGATAGATAGGGACGTTGGTAAATGTAGAAGGTGCAGCGAGGTCGAAATTTGAACGAGTCTGGTTTGTCATCATGATCAGTATCAGTAATCACTGAACAGTAATCAGTAATGAGCAATTGTGTGTGATGATGAAAGGAAGTGGGGGAGCGTGGCGGCCGGCCCATTCATGGGCAGTGGGACTGGTTGTGGGCGAGCCCGTGAGGGGCGCGAGTGCGGCCGCCCCGTCTCGTCGCCGTCAGGCGTCAGTAACAGTTCGTCTTTCGTCGATATCTCGTCGCGCTTCGTCCTCCAGAGTCTCACGAGTGCCTTTCAAGTGCCCCGAGTGCTGAGTGCGCGTCAGGCAGTCGGCCGCCTTTCTATCCGATCTGGAGATTCACGAGGGGAACGACGGCCGAGCAGAGGAAATTATGTGAGTTTTGTTTTTGTAGAGTTATCGTCGTTTGTCGTCGCTGGAAATTCTTTGTGGGCCCGAGTTTGGCGAGGTCCGTAGCGGTGGCGGGGGCCAGGCCGGGGCTCGCTCATAAATAGAACCGGGCCCTCTTCGGGAATGTTTTTCGTATTTCCCGCTGGAGAGGAAAGGCCGTTTCCGCGCCTCCGTTGCCCTGGATACGGTGGCCAGGTTACGATCCAACCGACCTTGCTTCTCCACGTGGATCTCCACCCTTATCAACGGATTTGCCGACATCCGCTTCTCCCGCCCGTCCGGATGCGTGGCCGCATATTTTCAACCTCCACGCTTTTATCTGCAGATTCTGCTGATCCTTCGGCCAGAAACTGTACCGCAATTGTACATCCTCTCTTTCCATTCCGTAGTACTTTTCGTATCGTGATGTTTCACGATCTCGCGCCCCCTCCATGACATTCACACGAATAGTCTGCGAATGTATTTCTAATAACAAAGAAAAATATTTAATAACGGTCATAAAATTCTAACTTACTATACCATCACGTAGCGATTTTAGGTATGTAGAAAACGGGAAAATTATCCCCTTCGACGTCTAACCTGGTTCTTTATCGTCGTTTACATTAATGTTCTGTAAATATGGCGAAGAGAATCAATTTATTAATTTTTTCCGAAATTTTATTTCCATAATAGTTTTGCTAGTTCTTGTTATGCACATACATATTACAACTCTCAGGATGCGTTTAATTATCCAGTGATAAACCTCAAAAATAATGAACAGCTTATTTAAGCAGTGGCAACACTGATTACAAACCATAATTATTAAAAACATTAAATAAGTTTATGAAGGCATGAAAAATCAATAATAAATAATTTTTAACCAGGTTGGTGTTGAAAGGTTTAAGGTTTTAAAAACACTCCAAAGATGAGCGTTGGAATTTATTTATTAATTTTCCTAATTGAATTAAATCGCAAGGCTATCTTTGGCGCGTGTATGTTTATCAAAAGTTGAACATTTCAACACGAATCTGGTCACACAAAAGAAAAATACAAAGAGGAGGAACGAAATGTAACAAAAAACAATTGTTCCTCATTTCGCAGGGTGATGATCATTTCTGATAAGTTTGGTCTGCCTATCATCGCTGTTTTTGGTCGGTCAGGAATGCCAACCCCTCAGCCACATACCAAAAACATAAATATTTGTATTCAATACAATACATCAGTTTGTCGAGATTGGTATAACGTGAAGTAACACAGTTTTAAGGCATTGGTCGGGGATGTAAGCAAGGTGGGGCCCATGGTCACGAATCCACAACTACATAGGCACTTGAAACGTGTCCAAAACAGCTCAGATGGGCTGCCCAAATTACACATACCAAAGAATCATACATATTGGTTACCAAAACATATCGTAAAACAGTTTATTGAAATTGGTATAATGTGATATAACAGAGCTTAAGGGGTTACTTTCTGGTCGGGGATTTAAGCAAGATGAGGAAGGACAACCCACAACTGCAGGTAGACACTCGAAACCTGTCTGACAGTTCAAAATAGAGAGCATGGTCCTCTAAACTGACCACATACCTAAGAATCATAAATATTGGTAACCAACAAAATACACCACGTTATAGTCGATTACAGTGCTTTCTCAGTAATCCGAACTAATCATTACGGGTGGTTTCCGGATTACTAAAAAACTCGGATTGTAGCAGGTGTAAAAATTCATATATAAGTACAAAAACAATTAAAGCATAATACACAAAGCTTTAAACCTATTATAATATTACATGTATACTGTCAATTTTTATTTAAAAAATCAGTTTTTTAAAATTTCTTTAACATTTCCTTTATTGCTTCTTCCTCTTTTTCTCTTATTTTTAAGCAGTAATATATTATACTTCTTTCACATAGTACACATCAACCTGCCCATGTGGAGTTTATTTGTATTTTTATCTGCTCCCATAATGATTACATTATTTTGAATAAGTACAAAAATTTTGACTTCATTTTATTGTTTAATTATATTGGGTATTTAGCCTTATTGCCGGCTTTTCACTACAATAAAACCTTAAAAGTTTTAGTTTTAAAAGAAGAAAAATGTAGGTGGATTTAACATTTCATTTTTTAGTACTGATGGAGTAGTTGGTAGTAAGAGGTGAAGGATTTTCTCAAAAAAAAATTCTCGAAAATTCTCACACACTCATTCTCTCATACACACACTCTCTCTCTCTCTCTCTCTCTCTCTTTCGTTTTAATGTTTGCAGATTTAATATTAAATTATTTCACATAACCGGATGTTGAGGGATGTTATATGGAGTCTGTGGTACTAACTTGATCTCTAGTGATGACTGATGGTTTCGTCGGTTTTTCCGAATTGTGTTATTTTTTTATTTTATTTTTATCTTGTCTGTTTTTTCTTTAAACAGGTCGAAAGGCAGCAAATGCATTTCTGTCCTGCGTTTCGTTCATTCGAGTCTTTGAATCAATATCAATCGATGTTTTAGTAGTTTCCGTGCCTAGTGCACTACATGCAGAACAGTTCACCGGTTGGTTATTGCCTTTTAGTTTTTTTTTGATGATTGAGAGCGATATTTACTAATCTAAATGTTAAGTATGTCTACCCGTACGTGCACACATGTTCTCGCACAACTAGTATTGAAGGAATGATATTGGCCGTCACTTATAAATTATTTTTTTCTAGAGAAAATTTTGGGACATTTATCATTGAAAGACGCGAAATTTATTCTTCTTCGAGAGACAAATCGTAATGCTAATGTTAGACATCAGTGTGTGTCCAGAATTTCATTCAATACCGATACCATCTTGGAGACGACCACTCGTCATTTTTACCTTACTGCGCTGGGTTCATATTCATCTTAAGCATCATTCGTAGCTTCTTCTTATCAATAATAAGATATTCATAAGATAAAAATCAAACATAATTTTCTGTAAAATATTTCCATAATTATTTTATAAGACATTTTCCCTTTCTTGAAACAGTATTACTTCGATAGCTTTGCAGTTAAAAGAAGTAAAAAAATCGTTCACTTCCGATAAACTAGTTTTTATTTAATTTTCTACCAAAATGCCCAGAAAGGATTTAAATTTAGTTTTTCTTATTTTTTGATAGGATTCATTTCTTCCAGTTTTAAATATATTTGTATTAACTTTTTTGTCGTTCTATAAGATGAATGGATTATGAAAAATTGAATACAATTTGTACGGAAAAACTAAATCCATCGACAAGCTGAATCACGGCTTTAATCGTCCAATCGTGATTCGTATTTTTTTTATTTTTTTTTAAATTTTTATAGTTAAAAAGTAAAACCATGTTGGATAATACCGTGGAAAAATACAGAGGACAATTTGTATGTATTCAATGTCATTTTTTTAACACCCTGGGTAAATATGTGCACTGCAGAATCTCGTCCGCTTTTATGAATGAAAGACACCAATGATTTTATTCCGATTTAATGTGCAATTTATTTAAATTTGAAATTCTGCATTGATTCACTTGCAGCTAATTATTCGAAAATTATTTGTTTTTCTGAAACAATTTACAGTATGATACGCAAGTAAATTAAATAAACTGATAGAAAATCTTAGAATAATCCGAATATTACACCATTTCATATTAATTTATTTAAATAACTAGGTAAAACATTTCAAAGTATTTATATTTTCTTTGTAGTAAGGATCTTTAAATAACACCTTGATAGAAACCATCAGTGATAAATATACAGGATGTTAATTAATTCGTTAACAGGATATTTGTGAAAGCTAAGTAAATCGATTAGTCGATTAGTAGTTTTAAATTAATTCCATTATTAATATTAATGGAACTTTCTTTATTTTCAGAAAAAAAGCTAATATCTTGCATAGTCCAAATTGAAATTACCGTATAATTGCTCAATTATAATTATACGCCACAATATGCTGCAAGGAAAATGTAAAGTTGTTAAAGGTGAGACGTATTAGGTTCAATTTCGAAAAGCTATTGAATTAAACCTAAACAAAGCGGCAGAAAGATAATTTTTTTAGAGACTCACCCTGTCCCATGGTGGGTTTCGCCTTCAAAACTCGATTTTATCGGATGGGAAAAGGTGAAAAATGAATTTCACTCACGTCATCGATTATCTTTTTCGATAAATGTTCACGAAAGTTTCTCGTTTCAAAAGTTTGAAAGTTCTCTTCGGTCTTAACTTTCGCAGAAGGCCTGTTTTCTGTAAAAAACGAGACGTTGAACTTTTGTGCTCACGAGGTGCTTTCGACCCGATGGAAATTTCTTCTAGACGATCGAAAATTCCATTATCACACATGCGATGTACGCAATCAGAAAAGGGAAAAATTACATGTACGATGACTAACATGGTAAAATCTACATTACCTCATCTTTCTTTTTTCCACATAATAAGTCTCGTCTGTACTCTTGTATTATATTTTATTTACCGTGCTCCACGGTTGAAAGAAAAGTGAAAACTCACGAGAGATGTATGAAGAATTAGCAATTTTTTTTACTAATGGTTGAAATGTTATCGGTGAGGTTTTCCGCCGGATGTAATGCTTTTTTATCTCAAACGCCTGGGAAGCTTCATCTCTTACTATCTGCCCCCACCTTTTAGCTTTTTATGACATCTTAAACTCATTAATACTCCTTCGTTTTACAGTTTACAAATACGAATAAATGTTTGTTCGACCTATTTTCACAGAGATGATCGATTCGATTTAATCGTAAACATAGTGTTTTAAGTGTTAAATTTAATTGAATATATAAAGTAAATTTAGGGCAGATTATATTTTGAACTAGATTTGAAAGCTTAACCAAGGGAGGCTTCATTTATACGCAGTTTAACTCCGGTTAAGATACCTATCTGTAAATAACTTTTTAAATTAGAATTTGAAATATTTTATTTTTTACAATTAGAACTATTTATTTAAATCGATTAATATTAAAGGGTGTTATATCCTTAGTTTTGGTTTTTGAGTTTATTTATTAGATACTTTTA